TTTACAATTTTCTAAATTCCCCTCTTTGTCGTCATTTAATGAGAAAATATTACTAAATAAACAATTTAAAACACGAGATTTAATCTCCATCATTGTTTCAAGAAAAAAAAAGAATCCGCACTTAAGTTTTATTTTGGTGCCGCCTGTGCAAACAAAGCAATACTTGAAATGTGTTGTAATTTTGTTCGAAAATTTAATGAGAAAAGACGATAATGCTTTTGGATAACGGCCAAGTATTGGCAATTTTCTTCTGCGCAATTCATTAATAAACAGATTAGCATGAAGGTATGAATTTTTGTCCTTTCAATTCGATAGCATTATTCCACAGTTAGCGAAAACAAATTGGCATCTTTATTTCATGAAATAAATTTTCTTGCGAGACTAAAATCGATAATTTCTGTTACTGTGCTAATTAAGTCTGAAGGTCTTGTTCATTATCTCTATTATTTTTCTTAACACTGCTTTTCGTTCAATCTGAAAGCCATCATTTCACGTCCAATTTGGGATAGTTTTTTCAATAATCAATCGCTTCTGCAAGTGACAGTCTATATTACATCGAAATTATCTGAAACATCTCGAACCTGTCTATGTAACGACAAATTTTATCTTAATAGAGGTTTTTGGAAGCAATTCTAACCAGGCATTTGAGTTTTAAAGATATAATTTCCAAAGTGACCAGAGAACATTGGTGCATTCGTTTCAAAAAAAATAAAATCCCAAACGATATCGAGCTTAACACCGCAATCAAACATTTGAATGAATTTGAAATCTTGATGAAACGTTAAAGCCAATGTCCTCTTGCAAACTGGAACAACCTCAAATGATGGCACAAAGCAGTACATACAAGTTTAAGATGGCACTGTACTAGTTATTAGTTCAACTTTGGTTAAATAAAAAAAAGAGCCTCTTCTTTTAACAAAGATAATTTAACAATCCAATTCCTTGGATCCAATTCCTTCAAAAATGAAATATCAAATAAACTAGTTTTAATTCTATCCATTTGCCCTTATCTTTTTTATGAAAAAAAAAGATGATTAGACCTTAACTTTTTTATGAAAAAAAAGATGATTTGTCCTGAACTTTTTTTATGAAAAAAAAAGATGATTTGTCCTTAACTTTTTTATGAAAAAAAAAGATGATTTGTCCTTAACTTTTTTATGAAAAAAAAAGATGATTTGTCCTGAACCTTTTTATGAAGAAAAAAGATGATTTGTCCTTAACTTTTTTATGAAAAAAAAAAAGATGATTTGTCCTGAACTTTTTTATGAAAAAAAAAAAAGATGATTTGTTCTGAACTTTCTTATTGACTAATGAATTGTTCCTTTTAAATGAAATTGGGAATCGTGTGGTGTGATAGCGAGTTGAAGTTGTCCTGTTGAAGAAGGACAGTTGTCCAGAACAGTTAATGACGTTTCGTCAATATGGGTGGACCTTATCAAAAGACGATCAAGTTATTGTTCGTGAAAGCTATAGTTCAGTTTTCCTTGATGTTATCAGGCTCAATCAGCAATCCTAGGGTACATTTCTATTTTTCAATGTCCATTCTTTGGTAAAGTTAAGAAGCGCTGTTCGTTGAGTTATGTTTATGTCTTGAAGTCGTTTTCAGGTATTTTTTAAAATTATTTTTCTACTGCTGTTGGAAGTATTCTTTCCTGAATTGGTAAACCAACTTTTCGAAGTCAGTCCTTTGAGTTGTAGTTTTGTTAGTTAATCATTTACTAGAGAAGAATCCATGTGAGTCCATGTTGAAAAGTAGGATTAATTCCATTTATGTCATAATTTAAATTCTTATTTAGTTTTTGACTGAGCTCTACATGTACAGTGCCATCTTAACGAATATCAACTATTTGCGACATCAACTGAGATGCAATTGTGATACTGACTGTTAAGCAGACAAACAATGAGCGATCAGTCCGATCCGTCCCACGAAGTCAACTTTTTTGTTTCAGTTTTCTGTGGTCAAGTTTATGCATAAATGTCCAGTGGTTACTTTTAGGGATGTAACGGGGTTTTCTATGCAAGATTTCCGCATAGCCAGTCCCATTCTTTAATATGCATACAGTTCTGGAAAAACAAAACGGCGAAAACAATTGATCACGCTTGGGACTACGGTTTTTTTTAGATCAGTATGACCAGTATGGGACTATAGAGAGATCTTTCTATTTTCTGCCGTAAACTAGACCAGATTGAAATGGAAAGGGAAATCAGGATGTATCATACGATCGCTCAGGGTCTGCAGAACAATCTGCACCAATGCAAAATTATCCAAAAGTGGTGGCTAGATGCAAACTAATCACTTACCACGCAATTATTTCCTAGCACAATATGAATATAAATGAGACAGTTGACGAGGAGTAGAATTCTTACCAAAAAGGAACTTAGACGGCCACCACTTTTGCTTCGATTAGTTAAAAATTTTGAAGTTCTTATCTCTGTTATACCCTTCTTGAAGAATCCTCTTAAATATTCTGTGATTTCCACGTCTTCTCGTGCCACATTCTTTTTCCTTCAATCCTTCTAACGGTACTCCTCGTTCTGAAATATAAATCGTCGACACGTTTAGAGACTGCTTTATGATTTAAATCTGCACAAAAACTAGAAAAACACAACTAATGACGGCATGTAATCTAGAGAGCTTTGAAATAAACGTTGCAATATTTTTACATTTTTTAAAATTCTGCCAGTGGCGATGGGATTTGATTTACAAAGCACCACGTAAAGACGTGAAGGCGTTCAGCTACACATTTACATCCCCACTCTAATATGTATCTGTATATGTATAACACACAGTAATAAATTCTCGTTACAGTCAACACATTTCTTCCAATACAAAGGTCGACTCTCTCACTCAATCGACCTTCGAGTTCAAGTGCGGCTTAAACTAAACAATGGACACGACTCGTTTGAAATTACGACTCCTTCAAGTTTCTTTGTGAGATTTGGGTAAAAATTTTCGAGAAATGCTCACCTCTTGTTCTTGTAACATACGACTGCTTTCAGTTGCTCTTCTTTACAGCTCAAGCATGTTCTTGTTCCTTCCAGAGTGCAACTTTACCTTCAGCACCAAAAACGGCACGTCTTAACCCCACTGCAGGCAACGTGGTTTGCTGAAAGTTCTAAAAATTTCTGATGAATATGGATTAACAACCCCAGCCAGTGATCGGCTGATACGTCACAGATTGGCACGGAGTTTTTTTGGCACGCTCAACCAGCTTACATGTAAATCAGGAGTAAAGAAAGGCGTGGTGTGTATTGAATTTGCATGTGAGAAGAGGAAAAAAGATCAACTATGACAACATCGCAGGATTTGTTTGTTTGTTTGTTTTTGCCAGAAACTTGTCGGAAACTGTAACCAAATTAAAGGAAAAAGTACAGCTTAACTTTATTTTCACGCGGTTCTTATAAATTGATAAATTTCAAAATCATATTTAATAAACGGATCTAGTAAGATAATCGGACAAATTTCTCTGTTAATCGCTATCTTCAGATTTTTTTTGTAGTCTGACCTTAGGCCGTGTATTACGTTTTTATTGCATTATAAACATTATATTTTATTTAGTCAGAATGTGACAGCACAAAAACAAAAGATTAGGCGCGCACTGTCAAAGGGCTCCCGGCATAAACTAAAGCACTTCAGTCATTGCTAGCTTTCCTTACCTTTCAACCCAACCAAGCCAAAATGAATTAAATGTATTAACGGGTTGTTCTCTTGTAGCGATATATGGAGATGACACCTTGTTGTTTACCCATGAGAGCAAAATAGACTGAAATAATCCCGGCACTGTTATTCTCCTCTAAAGGAGAGGCGAGATCAGTTAGCACAAGGCACTTTTGATTCAAGATGAAAGATGTAAAACAAAGAGAACGCGCAGTTATTTTGCTCAGGATGAAACGCAAAATAAACAGAGGGCGCTGTAGTTTTTCTCATCCAGAGACAACGCACTTGGTTATTATTGCTAAAGTGGCGAGATTAAAGATCGTTAAAAGGCTGTAGTAAAAAAAAAAAAGGAGAAAAAGAAAAAAAAGGGGAATGGATTAAGGTTCGAAACTGTTACACACATTGACTTGCAACTTGCCAGTGCTGTGTAATAAATTAAGTGGTTGAGCTTACTTATAACATGAACCCCACGACGGTCTTCAACACAAGTTCTATACCTAACTCCAATGTTCGACTTGTCTTTGAGAGGAAGGAGAGCTTTCGAGGGAATTATTTTCCAGTAAATATTCTAGACAACCACTCAAAACGTTTACTCGGCTAGATGGCTGCTTGATGTGTACTCTGTTGGAGCCAAAACTAATCATATTTCATACTCTCTTGAACCAAAATAACCTGTCCCGCTTTAGTCACTCCCTGAAAAGTTTCGCTCAATATCATCCAAATCTTGTTCGGTGGAACAAACACATGCGGTGAAGCCAGATAGAAAATGCAGCTATTGGAGCAAGCGCTTTTACGGTAAACAGGGTGCGCTATACTTGATGGTTAAGTAGCGATTGCTACAGGCCACCCAGAACAACCTGATCAAGCTTTACCGCTTTAGGAAGGAGAGGACAAACTCCCGTGGGTACCATGGGAAAGTATGGGGGGGGGGAGAGAGGGAGCTAATTCACCGAGGCCCTAAGAACCTGACCCCGTTGAATAAAACATCCTGTTTATTTCGCTACCATGTTTCAGACATCATTGTCAAAATGTTGGTTTACCAACCTTTTAAAGGTTTGTAATTAGATTCAAAAACAGTTGTTAGAGACACATATACATACCTCAGTTCAAAGCATTCGGCCCAGACAAACGACTCTTTCAAGACATTAAATGGTAAAATTGCAAATGCAAACCTTGACTCAACATCCCAAAAATGTATTATGACTGGGAACGCATACCCGTTCAGCCCCCCCCCCCCCCCTATATTCCCTGGCTTCTCCCCCCCCCTCTTTCCCACCTTCTCTCCAGGGAAACGTTTTTTGTTTGTTTGTTGCCACGTAACACAAGCGACATTTCGGTTTAAGGACGACTTTATTTACCAAACTAGTCTCTACATTATATCATTGGACAATAAATAACATCGATGGTCGACACCGAAAAATTTTGCATTTTAATCGAAATTCATTTTGTAATTGATATTGATTGATGTACCATCCACTATTAAAATTTAAATTTTTTTAATATTTCACATTGTTATTTACAATTATAAATAACATTTGTGACGTAGTATCCAAAATTGAACTGAAGCAGAGGAAACTTCAACTCTACTTTGCGTCAGTTAATATTCTAAATTATATAAATGCAATCAAACAAATAATCTGACTGTAGGAATAGGGGAATAACCTCAGTGATAAAATTAACAAATTTTCTGGAAAAATAGCTTTGAGTTGCACTTCATCTACCATTCTATTTCAACTTTTCCGTCAGCCATAATAATATGAAAAGGTACACGGATCCAAAAACTTTGTTAAGAAGAATAAACTGAAATCTCGGCCGTGGCCAGATAGTATCAAAGTTACTTATTTCTTCTATGAAATATTTGACTCATTTTTGTCGGAAAATTTATCTCGTGTCAATAAATACATGCATCGGAAGGAGACATCCTGAATTCCTTAACAAGGAAGGAAAATTAGGACTAATGAATGCCTAACGATCTTGAGTTAAATCTGAATAATATTTCCCGATCTTTACACGCTTTATCTTGTTTTCACGACCTCGTTCAAACTGTTGCATTTAATTTGTAAAAATATGGTTACATTATCCACGCCTTAATAAATTTATCATCTTTATCATCTTAATCAAATAAAGAATTTCTCGGCGCAATTACATTTAATAGAAGCCGAGATAGAATTTTTCATGAAAATAAAGCTCTGTTCATTGCTTTTAGGTGATCTACCGTATATCGTTGCAACAAAAACCGAGGAAAGGTACCTCACGTGATAATTATCTGATTAATTTTTCACTTGCACCCGATTGGCTGAGTTGCCAGCGCATGTTTTTTTTCTTTTTTTTCATTTCAACCAATAAGACAAGAAGGCTAGAAAAACAGAAATTGAAAACAAATACTATGTGCACGGTATACCAATGCAAAGGACTACTCTGATTGAAAGAAAACCACACCTTTTCTACCTCTCCTATATTCTCATTTCATTCAAATCCGAAATACTATTTTCAGAGCTATAAGGATTTTTTTTTTTTTTTCTTCATAAAACGACATACCCTTAAATTGAGGGTAACATTTTGTTAACACAACTTTAAGTATTTCACCCTCTGGTTACTCTCACCCTCAGCACAATTTTGTTACGTAAAAGATGTCCAGCGGTAGACGTAACTGCTCCAACCTCCTCCTTCCTCGCCTGGTTCATTTTCAGCTCCTACAGAAAAAAGCACTTGAAGTCACGGAGCGAGAAGGATTAAACCTTTAACTTCCATGCGTGACCAAACAGAATTTCTCTTTACAATATATATATTTAATATCAAGGAGACAAGTGGTGAGAATAGAGTAAAATATCAATTAGATTATTAGTAGATTCACAGCCAAATTCTCCAAACTAACAGCAGAAGAATAGCACGGCAGACATAAAGGAGAATTACTACTGAGATCTAGGGAGTGAAAGGGTAACCTTCCTCGCATTTCGGCTTCTGATTGTTCGGTGCAAAGTGTGACTTGTCGCTCTCAGAAAAAAAACGACGATTGAAAACAGCATCAGTTATTTTTACGGGTTCAAACAAAGAACTAGCTTTGCTTCCGTGTTTCAACCCTTGTCGTATGAAGGCACGGTCAAGAATGAAACAGGTCGTAGGTCGTAAAACGTGTGCATTGTAAACCGTATATGTGATGCGGACGAGCCTGATTTGGAGATGCAAAAGCTTTGGTATAAATTCATTTTTAAAGTGACTTCATGTATCCACATCATACCTCGCGCGAGTTGAACTATCAATTCCTTCTCGTCCTGACTGAGCTTCAACATGGTGGTGAGGACTGGAACTAAGTGTTCCCGTTCATTCGGACGACACTTAAGAAACTGTAATATGACATTCTTCATATACTCTAAGTTTGCAGACTCTTTCTCTCGCTCCTGGTTTCTTTCGAGTCTTAAAAACAGAATTAAAAGTAATGAATTCATAAGTAATGACAAAGACAATAACTATAACGAGAGGGAGGAGAGGGAGAGGAAAGTAGCAAGGTTACATTCACCATCCACCTCACGCTTCGTTGTCCACTAATTCCAGGTCGAATTTGATTTGGATCGTTGTATTTTTCAGTATCTAACATGCTGGTTTGAGGCAAGAAAGTTATAACGGTATGGCATATGAGCTAATGAAAAGAAGTGAAACAAAAGTCTTCACCGCAATTCAACTTAAACACTCGGACTCTAATGGTTTATTTAAATACCTTCTTATCTCTTCCTTTAACACCTTCGCCTGCTCTGACAGTCTCATGGAATTCGCTTCACTCTCACGCAATAACTGAAGAAAAAAATTAGACTCTGAATTTCATTCTTAACAGGATGTTCAGGACAATTCGTCACCAACACGTTAGCATTGACCGCTGTCCCAGCAGAACATCTTGAATAAGAAATTGAGATGACTGAAGAGGACAAATTACAAAATACATCGAAAGAATAGGGACCATTCCCAGTTTTCCTTATCTCGTAGAATACTATTCGGAGTAGAACTATTCTTGAAAACGGAGGTTCGTTCCTCATTGGCTTTCTGTCCACACATATCCAGTGAAAACAGTCAGCGAAACTGCATCTTATAAAAACATTCTGCAAAGTGCACAATACTGCGGATGCTCTTAAGCTGTGTTCGAGTGGACTGATTAAAAAGGATGACATCACAATCAACACAAACGGCGCAAATATGGAAGTAAAGGCAGGTAATTCATTTTTGATCAACCCCCCTCCGATATCCCCTGCTTCACCACTGTCGAATGCTTTTCCATCAAAGACAGTAGCGTTTTCTAGATGGGTTAACGGGTTAAACTATCTTCGATTTCAAAAACATGATAGGATGTTTCCCAACACAACCATTCTAGTGGTAATTCAGAGTACAATACGAACCAAACAAGATCTCAATAAACACTGTGTTACCTCGGTCAGATGTTCCACTTTCTTGTTGGCAGTTGTAATGTTCGAGAGTAGCAGATTTTCGTCCAGGGGAGGACCTCTCAGTGCTAAAATGAAAAAAAAAGAGCCACAAGAATAAAAATCATTAGTTTTGATCTTTTAAACGCAGATTTCCAACATATTTGTGTGCACAAAAGTTTTGAGTTTTTAGTACCCACCTTCATCTCTTGGAGAAGTAGGAGTAGTCGGAGACGTTGGAGAAAGGATCTTCTCAAGAGTTGAGGCGATGGTCGGTGTCACTGGAGTGGTAGGAGTAGAATTGACCTAGAAAAAATTAAAAGCCTTCTTTTTATTCACACACATCACACTACGTCTCACAACAATGGGTCAAACTTGGCTGAGTGATGCTGTGTCCAACTTGCGCAACAGATTTTCTTTTCTTTTTTCATGGACAATTTAATTGTATAAAATGTGAAGAATTTACCTTGGCATGTCCCTTTTTACCTAATCATGTAACCGACGTGCGTTTTTGAGCACGGAGAATTGTCCAGGAATTTGTAGAAAGTTTCAGGAGATTAAATTGTACTCTAAGAAGTTTATTTTGAAAAGATTCGTATATAATTTACCGTAGTCTTGTGGCTAAGACAATTTGCTCTTTCAAAATAAAGTTTTTCTGTCAAGAAATGGCAAACGGAGCAACACATCTTTCAAAGCGCACTCACCCTTGGCGCTGAGTCGGTTTCTGCCAACTCACTCTGGTCCATGCCCTGTACAGAGGAGTAGGGCAAAATCAATCAATAATTTATTTTGAAAAGGCATAGACACTCAGACAACAAAATCATCACACCCACCTCCCCAGGCCGCCGCTCCTCCGTTGCCCTTTGCAGCGCGAGGTCTGGTGGTGAGCGAGACCTCACAATTGACTGCTGGGACTGTTGTTGTTTTTCCTGTTGTAACCTGCTTAACTTGCTCTCAGCTTCAGTCAATTTCTGCTGCACGCTTGCTAACTGGGCTCGATGTTCTCCTTCGATAACTTCAAGTTTTTCCTTCGAAGCGGAAAAAAAATAATATTAGACAAGCAGTTCGACACCCGACATTAATTCCATCAAAAGCATCGTTTCGGATAAGCCTCTTCCGAGAAAATTATCGTACTAGACTCCTGATTAGACAGTTGAATTAAAAAAAAAACGAACTTCTTGGAATTTCTACTAGAACTTCCAAACTTTCGCATGGAAAATAAAAGACCTCAACACAAAAAGACTTTCTTAAAACCACGGCATACTATCACCACAAAACCGCTTCATAGCACAATGTTCCTCTCGACTACAAGCTGACATTAGAATTGAGCTCTTAACCACCTAATAAAAATAGCACTTAAAAGGTAGAGTAATCTTAATTGTGAATATGTCTTAGTTATCTTGACTGCTGGCTTGAAAAACCTAACCTGTCTATACAGGCTACCCTGGCTACCTATGCTCTGTCGGCAGCACATGATAAGCAAAGTGTAATCTCGAGATTACTCAGCAATGCAATGTAGAGCAAAACAAAGCATCGTGCGTTCGTAGTCTCAAACAATGTTATCAAAAAAAAGTCTCCGAAAAATAATCGGCCAGAACACCACGAAACGGTAAGGCAGTACCACTACGCGTTTGTCGTGCATACTAAATATAAGTGAGCTTACAAATTTTAAAATGTCAGAGTGCACGTCACGCCTGGTTTTCTTCTAAATCCTTTACACCCTAACATCGGTATGTATATTCTTCATACTGTTCTTTATAAATTTCCTTAGGTGCTTAGAAGGAGACTTTGTTTAACAATCGACAGCTTCTTAAGTTGGTGATCATTTCTTTTATTCTCGTGGCCTTACTAAGTAATCAGGGGTGATATTGTGAGGAGAAACTAAATACTACTCACTCTAAGGGATTCAGGGTTAAAACAAACCTTGAATGTGGCGGCGACAGACTCGTTCTGGAGGGTCATGTGTCTTATCGCAGCCAGATGCTCCTCGTTTGTGTTGCTTCGCTCAGACTTCAGCCGTTCAAACCTGTACGATTACGAAACGAAAAAATCATCAGTTAACAACCACTGCTGGATGGTGTCACTCTAAACAAGTTGCATTACCCAGATCATAAAAAACGTTATTCATCAGTGTTCCGAACAGGGAAACACTTGCAGGTAAAGATAAGTTTTGTTTATCGCGAACATAGGACAGTAAAGATGTTTTAACTGTACTTCGCGATTCCCTTTTTTCCGGCTCCACTGAGCACTGTTTTTCAACTATAGTAAAATTTTGAAGTACTTTAGTATAGCTCGATAAGGGCGTTAGTACTGGTTGTCAGACTGTCAGCCCCCAATCGAGTTATAGGATTCTCTTGGGTCACAGGAATATCAAAAAAGCCAAAGGAGAAGTAACAACTAAACTATCACTCGTGTGTTTCATGTGCAATGCACCACTTACCTATCTTTCCAATGGGCCTCTTTGTTATCTATATCTTGTATCAACTTGCTGTGTCGAGCCGTTAGTCGCTCGTGCTCGCCTTCCAGTTCGTCATATTCGCTTTGGAGCATACTATATTTGTCGCTTGAGGAGCAACAGGAAAAACGAGCATGATCAATTGAGTTTAAATAATCCAAACAGATGTAAAATGAAATAATGTGAGTCAAAAACATAACACACAGGGCCAGGCCTGGCTGCATCTCTCCCTTACTTGGCTTCCTGCAACTTGCTTTTCAACTGTTCAATGCCTTGTTCTAAACGAGTCCTGAAAATCAAATGGGGAAAGTGAATTGAACTGAAAAATACTAGAATACTGAAAAAAAGATATCCATGTCAATATCTGTACAACTGCGCACCTACCTCTCCCCTGACCCAACATCAACCCTATCTTGTCATCAGTTGACTGTTGTTGGATTAGGGGAGGGGTAGGTGTGCTGTTGGTCATATATTATCATTAATCCAAACAAAGTTTGACACACACCTCTCAGAGTTCTCAAGTTCAGGAGGCTGGGGTGCAGGTTTGGTTTTCTGCTGTTTAAGGACACTGTGAACACGAGTCTGCAACGGAAAAACAAGAAAGCGTACCAAAACTTTAACTGTGGATAACAAAAAATATAGATAAAATTCTTTTAATTAAAACAGAGAATGTGGGGATAGCGTGGTTTTTTTTCCTAATTGCTCCACCCCGTAATTGATCTAAAAACCTGCTAATCAAGGGCAAACTACGGCTTTAGCCACTCGCGTTTTCCTGCGTTTCGAGTTCTGACCAGTTTTGCTTTTATCTACATCATCTCCTCATTTGCCATTGCAATCACTTTAGTTTTGATATTATGAAAAACATACACAAAAATTGCGCACTCGCGCTTTCCTGCGCTCGGAGTTGTAGCTGATCTCTCGGAATATCTACCTCTCTTACCATCTCCCGTTGCAGTTACTTTAGTTTTGACAACATGACAAATGCACGAACCAGCTGGTCACTCGCGTTTTCCTGTGCTCCGAGCAGTATGCTCGTTTTTACTTACACTTCTCATCGGCTTTTTGTGATATTTCAATTGTTCTGATCATCCGTTACAATTACTATTGTTTTATTTCAAACGACCACCGATCACAAGGCATTCATAACTTCTCGATCAACTATGTCAACTACTTACCTTGTAACTTTCAAACTCAGCCCGCGTGGCTTCGTGGGCCAGTTTGGAACTCTCCCACTCTGCTTTCACTTTGGACAATTTACCTTCCAAAGTTTCCACAGCTCGCCTGTTGCTATCCGTTGAAGAACGAAGCTGTGGAAAAAAATAACATTGATTTCTGAGCTTATTTGACGAGCAAATTATGCTTTAAATTTTCGTTTTTTCTATCTGTTTTCCTTTCCTGTTTACTAACAATTTCTGTTCTTCTTTACCTTTAAAAGGTACACTTACTTGCTCTTGGTAGCTTTGGCTTTCGGCCGTAAGAGAGGACAATTCAACCTGTAAAATCACGCAAATTAAAAACGATAATACATTAAATATATAATGTACTATATATATATCATGTACTATATATCACTCGCAAAAAGTAAGCCGGATTCACTCCATCTCCAAATACAAAAAATTCCATAACTTTCCCAGCCCTTTTCGAGGACTTTTCTGATTTTTAACATGATCTACAACCAAGAAATTGCTTCCAGAATAGTATGGTGACACTCATGAAATGAATCAGTTTTTTTTTTTTAGATGTTCTCAAAAATACCATATTTACTCATTTTCCATTCCAACAATTATTGTAATCAAATTCCCTGACTTTCTAGGCCAGGAAAATGATACTATTTAATTCCAGGACCTTTTGGATGTTCCACGAACCCCAACACATGAATTGCTTAAATCTTTTACCAAAGTGAAATTCACGTAGTTTTTTTTTTAACCTTGTATTGCTCTGCCTCCTGAGTAGCGGATTCCAACTGTCCTTTCAATTGTGACTCAATCACCTCTTGTTCTACAATCTACAATTTAAAGGTTACAATTGGTGAACTCATTTAAAGTGTGCGAATGTTGCCTACGCTGTCCATACCTGGAATTTATTACAATAAGCTGTGTCACGCAAGGCAGCGTCACGTCACATTATTCTGGAATAAGTAACGCTACACCAGGTCGTGCTAATGTCTGTAGGTAGGGGTAATCGCACATTAAAAAATCGTTTCCTTTGTTGGAAAACCAGCAGATTTTAAGCGGAAACTAGGAGAGACGTTCAAGAAAAGTATATTTTAACGTCAACTAGTATTACCATACCATTACTACCTTGACCTGCATTTTTAATCAAAACTTCCTTTTTCGGGGGAACGGGGAGGGGAGAGGGCTTATTTAAGAGGGGGTTGGGGGCTCCTTGGCAGCTCGAAGCGCTATAGGGGAACCTTATTGGAAACAAGGCGTTCGACCGAGCGTTAACGAAAAGTAGGAACAAGGGAACAAAATTACATCCTTTCCAAGGCCTTGGGAAGTATTCTCACCTGCTTTTTGGCCTCTGCAAGCTCTTTCTTCGTTTTCACCAGCATGCCTTTCATTTTCAGGGCTCTCTCCTCGGCTTGTTGCCGTTGATTGTCGACCATGTCTGCAACCAACACAAAAGTTCATTGATATGAAGTGGTGTAGAATCCTACGCTATGACGGAGCATTAAGACAGCAAGTGGAAGAGGGAAGACAAGGTCAAATCTAGCCAAGCAAATAACTTAACCCTTACCTCGCAAAAGTGATTAACATGAAACTTCTCCCTATAATATGCATACATTACCCGGCAGAGAGGTAGTGAGAATTGTAAAACGTATCAGGTAAAATTTACTATCGTGATCTAACACCAGATTTTCATAACTTACTTACAAGGAAATGTGTAGCAGCTATAGGGGAGACTTAACAATCAGATCTTGGAAGTTAAAAGATTAAGGTGTCTTGGAATGGCGTGTTTCAGCTAGCTGTTCATCTAAATCAGTTTTTTTTTCCTTTCACTCACCGATCTGAGTTTTAAAGTCATCTGCTCTTTTATCCACTCGAGAAACTTCCTCCAGTGAGTCTTGTAAAGCCTTTTCTTTTTCGGAGAGTTTGTTCTGCAGCGCTTCCAGGGATTTCTGATAGTCCTCCATCTCTAAGCTCATCAGGCTGCTCTGATTGGCTTCCTGCATTTTTTAACAAAAAATAGTTCAGGAATAAACGAGGGAAACCTGACTCTACAACTCAGTAATCCTAGGGAAGGCAAACCAATGAATTAATTTGAAGAATTATAGAAATAATAATATATGTATACTAGTATAGACATATGAACCAACAATCGGCGACAAAATTGTTGACACATTGACGTTTTCAATCTCCAAATTTTTCAAATTATCTCTTTTACCCTTGTTAACTTAACCTATTCACCCCTCCTCCCAAAAACAATGTTGTATCGTGATTCCATGAACTCTTAGCGACATACATTGAATACATACAACAACATTGAATAGGGAAAGGGGGTTTAGTCAATGATTTGGAGTGCGGTATAAACAGGAGTGTTATTCTACACATAAATAGGACTCTTCAAACATGATGTGTCAACTCATTTTGACGTTGATTATTGAAATGACCTATCTCACCATAGAGTTCTTTATTTCACCGGTTACGCATCGTAGCGCAGAATCCAAAGGTTTTCATTTTAATTTATTATGGAGGCTCTGGTCTTTTCCTTTGTCCCAAGCTCTTGACCAAAAGAATAACATCTTTCTGTTGTTCTACTACCGAGTTCAAAATGTACTTTCTGCTAATTACAATTAAATCCTTTTTGTTTCTTTAGGTAACTTAGAAATATAGGGATGTTGAGCAGTGATTCGAAACTTATTTTTCCTTCGGTTTTTGCCTCATTTTAGGAGAAAATTTTCGATATTTTCATGTTGATTAAGTACTTTTTTCCTATCCCTTTGTTCCTTGTAGTTTCATAGATATCTCAGGAACATGTTACTTATTAACCCTTTAACTCCCAGCAGTGACCAAAACAGAATTTCTCCTTACAACATCAATACAATATCAAGAAGACAAGTGATGAGAATCAAGAAAAATATTAATTAGGGGATCATTAGTTGATCCAATGCCAAATTCTTCAAACTAATATCACAAGAACTATATGACAGACAGTAAGGAGAATTACTAAAGGTTAATATTCACACAACTTCACACCTTTTCTGCAGCCTCCAATTGTCGTTTAGTTGTTTCCAGTTGATTTTTTGTCTCCTCGTGCCGTCTCCGTTCTTCCGTTAAAGCTTCATCAGTATTCTCCAATTTACTTAAAACCTGGAAAACAAACAAATTTACAAAGTGGTAAAGCACAAAACAGTGAAATCCAGTTTACACGCATTGCGTACCTATTTCGATTACCGTATGCAGAGACCTGACAATCAAAACACTTTTAAAATTAAACAAACCTCTGAGTTCTCTTTATTGACTTGTTCCAACTCCTTAGAGGCATTACTGAGCTTCTTTTCGAGGTCAGACATTTCTTGTTTACTTTTACTGCTTTCAGTCTTTAACAACTGCGGGGGAGAAATCGACAAGATTATATGAATGCGCTGATACTAGCACTCGCTATAAGCTTACAGATTTCCAACCAATCGGATAACAAAAAGAATACACGGTCACGGGTCGATCAACAAAATCATAATCACCTCAGCTTCTCTAAGACACTCCTGAATTTGAGTGTTAAGCTTTTCTTGTTCTGCTTTGGAATCGGTACGTTCCCTCTCCACAACCTGCAAAATTGACAACCAAATTGAACCCATACTTGGAAAAGTGAGAAGGCTAAAGATCCCGTGGAACACTCCCGAAAAGAACTCACCTTAAGCAGCGATTCATAATTTTTGTTCAAACTTTCATTCTCAGCTGACAGTTTTTCGGCCTCTAGGCGAACATTAGCCAGTTCCTGCACAACCTGCGTCATGTTATCGGATGAGCCAGCCGTCCTGTATTTAAGTTGACAACGTATTAATAAATGTTGTCTTCTTTGGGCTCAAATTTTCACATTAACCATTTAAACCCCAGGAGAGACCAGCATCTAATTTCTCCTCACCGTAATACAACTGAATCATTCATTAAGATCATGAGAATAAAGGAAATGATCGCCAACCTTAGAAGCTTTGATCATTATACAAATTCTCCTTGTCAGTACCAAAGGAAAGGCATAGAGAAGAGTATGGGGAATATTGATGCTGATGTTAGGGTGTAAAGGGCTAAGCATTACACAATAGTCCATTTTTTATTACTTATGTTAACGAGCTTTTTCCGAAGCTAAGTTGGTGGAAAAGCTCGAAGTTACTAGGAAAATTATCGGCAAGACAATTTTGCTGCATCAGGGGAGTAGGTGGCGTAAATTGGCATAAAACATAAGGAATTACGTTACTTAAAACCTCAGAGGTTACAGAACGGGACTCCTCCTAACAACATAAGTACATTTTTATAGCGGAAAAGTAATGAGAAGAAAGAAAACGATCCATTACGAGATATTTGTTTGATTTTAAAACAAAATTCTCAGAACTAAACGTATGTAAGGTAAATAGTACGAAATTGATATTAAGAATTTGTCAACAAAAGGGTTCAACGCTGTACTAAGTCTGGGAATTGCTGATTTAAGCTAGCTTTGACTCTCACTCTCTCTCGAAAAACTACACTTATCAGCTCGGTAATGAAGTTTTTGACACTTCGATACATAGACTGTTCTAAGGACAAACGAGAATTGAGGATGGGTCCACTTACTTGGATTTTTCTGTTTCCAGTTCCTCTTGAACTTTAGTTAGCTGGTTTTGCAGTTCCTGAAGTGCAAGTTGCATAACAATATGTCAATCATTTTGAAGATACCAATCATCGAATTAGGGACCGGTCATTGTTCATCGCCCAGGGGGGGGGGGGGGGGGGAGTCGGGAGTCGGGAGTCGGGGAATTTTGGTTGTGTTACATTATCTCCCTCCCCCTATGGTTCTGTAATGTTCCTATGATCCCTTATTGGCAGTTAATTGGCAGTCAGTTTTCTAATGTCCCCCTCTGTTCCCCTGAAAACTATGTGACCCAATTCTCTCCCTCTTCCCAGGCCAAAAAGTAAAGACTGGCTCTAAATAATTAATATTTAAGGCAGATAAAAGACACGGTTCTCTGGATATAAAATTTTTTGACCAAAGAAAAGCCTCTTAACTTAGATAATGACTTTAAAACTGGTTTCTCTTCTATTTTTCGTGTTTACCTGATATTCGTTAGTTTGCTTGAGCGTTTCTTCTTGCTGCTCAACAAACTTGGCGTTCAACGTCTGCGCGTCTTCTTTCAGATCTTCTATTGTGGAGGTCAGTTCGTCTTTTTCGTCCTTCCACTAAACGAACGCAAAAAGAAAAAAAAACATCAACAAGCACGTGGTTGTTGAGCTAACCCTTTACACCTTAACATCAGTATGCAGATTCTCCAGACTGTTCTCCATGCATTTCCTTAAATGACGAAAAGGAGAATATGTTTAACGATCAAGAGCTTCTTAAGTTGGTGATGTCTTTACCTTATTGTCGTTACTTTAACGTTTGATTCAAGAATGAAATTGGATGGAAAAATTATGTGCGTTTTCACCCTTAGGAGTCAGAGAGTGAATCTCGCCTGACTTTGCTCGACTGATTTCAAGGATGACAAGATGTTGACGCAGTTAATAATAATAAGATAATAATAAGCGATAAGCGAGAGAAAAGGTGGAATTTTCTGTCTGCTACTAGAAAGCGAATGTAAAATAAAACTGCGCTGAGATCCAAACCTGCTTCTTGTAATTCTCCAGTTCTTTTTTGGCTTTGATGGCGACTTGCTTCAGTTTGTTCAACTTATCATCTTTTTCCTTATTCTCGCGCGCTAGTGTTTCTACAAAACAAAGAAGAATTACAAAGCTGGGCATTGACCTAAAAAATAAACTGTACCAAAAAATTTGCCCCAAATTAAGCCATGAGTTTTCCGTACGATTGCTCGAATCGTCTGGATACTCTCAAAAAGTTTGCAAGCAATCGGAACGATTTCGGATGGCCCGAACGACCGATACGTCCGAAATCATCCGGATAAAACTTTGTGCACAAACATGGTTAACATAAAATCGCCCCATAGAGAACAACTTTCAATTGAGTGTCTAAAGTAATGTGGGATTGCTTTGCTTTCACTTAACTTCGCTTTGTGATCGGTCCACAAAACTCGCACCATCTTCTCAACTAATAAGGAGCAAACTAAAAACCATCGCGACTTGATCATTCCCGTTTTCCCGCGCTTCAAGTAGTTTGCTTGTTTTCATTTTGCTTTCTCACTGGCTGATGATAATATAAACCTTGTTCTGATTGGTCGCTGCGATTACTTTGGTTTTGCTTTTTTGACACTCAGTTGAAAACTTCTCTGGTCTCAATCTTCCTGCATAAGGCAATCAAGATGATCCAGTTGATCATATGGATATCAAGCTTTGATAACATACCACGAGCCTCTACGGTGGTTTTTAATTCCTTCTGAAGTTCTTCTATCCTATTCGTAACCTGACAAGCCTCTTCAGCTCCAGATTCCATCTCGCTGCTCATGCGCGTAATAGCGTTTTGCACCTTCTCGACTTCAGTTTGCTTCTCGCTCAGTTGAACCTGAAGATTTTTTATTTCCAAAGCCTTCCCTTCGAGTTCTGCATTCAATGTCTGAACACTAGACTCAAGGGACAAGATTTTGCTCGTACTTTCCTCATAGACCATTTGATATTTCTGAATTTCTCCCTCTCTCCGATCAATTGCCTCATTTTTAACGCTAAGTTCATTTTCAAGTTCGCTTATTTTCAACAGCTGTGTTTCCAGTTTTGATTCCACATCGGCAAGGCAATGCTCTTTTTCCTCGATCAACGATTTCAATTGTTGCAATTCCTCCTCCTTTAGCAGAAATTCTTTATCTACAGAAGCAGTTTGCTTTTCAAATGCATCCATCTTTTTCTTTAACTTTCTCTCAATCTCCTCCTTTGAGGAAAGATTTTCGTTGAGAAATTCTATCTTCTCACACAACTCTTTATTTTCTGACCTAAGTTTCTCGCTTTCTTGTTCCCTTTCCAAAACGGATTGCGTGAGTTTCTCGTTGCACTCCTGTAATGCCCTGATTTCGTTATCCTTGGAAGCGGTTTTTTCGTTAAAATCCATAAGATTATTCTCTTGCATCTGCAAATCTTGTTTAAGAGCAACAATCGTTTCATTGTTCAGTTGACAAGTCTTCTCAACGTCCACTTTCTCCTCTTTGTTTGAAATGATCTGTTCTTCCAACGAACTTACTTTCAACCTCAAATCCTCTTCGACTCGTAAATGTTCTTGTAATTTCAGCTCGTATTCATTTTTATCCTTCTCTTTATCCTGCAAACTCGATTCGAGATTTTTTACCTGCAATTTCAAACTTTGCACTTCTTCGGAAAGTGTAACATTCAATTCCTTAGAGCTCGCTAATTCCATGGTGGTTTGTTCGAGTTTTGCATTCAAACTGTCAACAAACTCTTGGAAATTCTCCAATTCTTTTTCCTTCCTTCTGAGATTTTCCCTGCAGTCATTGATTTCCGTCTCCTTCGACTGAAGGCTTTCGTTCAGTTCCTCAAAACTTGAATTGAGAGCCACAAATTCCTCTGTTTGTTTTGCTAATCCATCACTGCATTTCTTCCGCTCTTCCAGCTCGTTATTCAACCCCTTTACTTTTTCTTGCGATTTCTGTAAGTTCTGCTTTAGCTGTTTCACAGCCTTCACAGCTTTCTTAAACTCTTCTTCTTTGCTTCCGAGTTTCTCTGAAACACTGCGGAAACTTTCGTTAACAGTTTCCAACTCATTCTTGTTTTGGTCGAGACTCGTTGATAACTCTACTATCTGGGCATCTTTCTCCTGCACAGTATTGTTCAATTTTTCGATGGTTGTGGCTAGCGCTTCCTTTTCGCTGTTTAAGCCTTTGTATCTTCTCACTAAGTTCTCCAACAGACTCACCCATGGTCTCCTTTTCCAGATTAAAATCATTCAATCGCAATTTCAACTCTGTAAGTTCGTTATCCTTCAAAGCAAGCGTTTCTCTCAGTGCGCTAACTTCTGGGTTGAGTTTTTCCAATTCTTTTTTATTTTCTTCGAGTTCACATAAAGCCTCAGTTAGTTCACTCCCTTTTTCTTCAAAAGACGTGTTCAGCGTGTGGACAGTTTCCTTCAAGTTTTGATTATCCTAAAAAGGGGAAAAGATCAATTTTAATTAACAATTGGTTCATATGTCAGCGTGCGTTCATCGAGATATGAAGCACGCGGGAAGTTTGGAGAGCACGAAAGATGCGTAAGAGTTGCTCGAGGCGTAGCTGACGTCACGAACGTGCACAATAGGAATATGAAGCACGTTCGCGCAATTGAATTTGATTAGACAAAGTTACTAGCTATGTTATAAAACTCTCTGAGTCAGGACAAAAATCTATAGTGTAAAGAAATTTGTTTTCGAAGGCTAAATAAGCTTGGATTTTAAAAGATGCTGCTGCGAATACCTCATTAACCCTTTACATCCCCTTACACTATTATCTACATTCTCAATACTCTTCTGTCTAAATTTGCTTTGGTACTGACAGGGAGAATTTGTCTAACAATCAAAGCATTTTACGATGGCCATGATTTTCTTTATTCTCATGATCTTAGTGAATGATTTAGCAGTATAACTGAAATGAGAAATTAAAGGCGGGTAACTCTTGGGAATTGAAGAGTTAAACTCTGTACTTAGAGTATGACATGTCAAAACATTGATCAATTCTAATCACATATACTGAAGTTCTAGTCTGTTCAAAACTACCTATTTTAGATGATAACCTTAACCGCAAGCAGAAAAATGTCAATGGCGTAGAACAATGTAAAATGTGGATCGTTTTCGTCACGTAACCCTTCAAAAGTGCGTGACATAAGACAATGTTGCGTGACTCACCTGCTGTAATCCGCTGTTGATTTCTTGTAGCTCAGAAAGCTGCTGGTAATGGAGCGATTCTGTGGACAATTGACCTGACTGTATTTCAGCTAATCTTCCTGATAAATCCTGAAAATCCAAGAGAAAAAAAAGCCTCTTAAAAGTCTAAACAATTTTGACCTTTAGTTTTCATTACACCGAACTACCTTTTGTTGATTTGTTTTCCAGACGAAGTATCACGCAACAGACGAAAAGGAAAAACAAATAAAAATTCAAAGGATTTATCGTAAACTCTTTAACGTATTTACAACACAAAAACGATGGATAAAACGTAGAGGATAAGGGAAGACAAGGACAAGAAAATTCTACTTCCGGTGGCTGCAAAAGTATGAAGATTTTGGAAACGAAAGAAGCTGAAAGCTGAAGGCATTTGTCGTATCTTTAAAGAAATATTTCGTTATCAATCATAGAACCAAACTAACATGGTTCTTTACAAAAAACCAAACCATGCGGGAAGGAAACATATTGACAGGGAGAAAGGAACTTTGAGGATACAAAGGATAGAGGCAGATAGAAAATAAAGAAAATTTCACCACTCTGATTTTAAAGCAGACGTGATAAGTGAAATGGCTTGGTAGACTTGGGAAAACTCGAAAACTTATTGCGAGTCGACATAAAAATAAAGTATATGCTGTTGCTGAAACAACAATGCTAAAATGTGTCTTGAAGTGAAAGTCCAGTGATCTGAGTATAAATTCATTTTCAATGTACCTTGTGTTCCTTCGACAGCGCGTCAAATTGTACGTGAAGATCCTCTAACTCTTCGTGTACTCGTTCAATGTAATCGTTCAACTCCTGCAATAAAATAAACATCGTGTTATGACCGGCTTTGTTAGGAAAAACAGAGGCATGTCACAAAGGTTGTTTGAAGACATTTCGTGAAGTAGAAATATACTAAAACCTGAGAAAAACGAAAAACTGTTTGCACTCAAACAACAGCAAGGGAAAGAGAAATTGTGGGTTTAGAAGAATAAACCTCACCTTTGCTGGTGACGAGGGAAAATTTTTACATTTCCGTACAGGTATGAATAACCAAGGCAGACAAAAAACAACAGCTACAGCCGCAAATTGAGGAGTGGGGACTCGCAGTATGCGGTCTTCTTGATCACAAGGCAAAAATATGACCTTCTTACATAACGATGTCAACTAAACTGGATCAGTGCGTAGGATTCTTCTTTATCGCTTTAAAAATCTAGTCAAGCAATGGTGTTAAATTACAGACCAGCGTGATATAGTTCCACTGAATATCAAATGCACAGGCCTCCACAAACGACTGTCGATAATGTTAAGAAAATATGATAAAAAAGTTGTTCTTCGTTTTGTTACGTGCGTGGATCACGAAAATAATCCGAGTCCCACCAAACGATCGAACCCCAGACCTTCGGATATTACGGTTCAGTATTATTCCGAAATTAAATTCTAGGTGTAATTCTGAATAATCCTTGGAGAAATAAAGGGGAAGGTAAATTTGACACTGATTAAAATCACTCTTGATGGCTTCGTGATGTCAGTGGCAAAGGGTACATTGAACATACTAAAAACTTGCTGTACGAAATACTGTACAACGTATCCGAAAAACTGAAAACAAGAAGTACCTTGGAACCTTCTCTTTCAATAAAATTTAGTTTGTTTCAGAGAAATTTTTCACCATACAATGACCGCGCTCGCAAAAAAATGAAGAGCGTGACAGTAGATAATTTGATATGCTCGAATAAATTATGCGTGATTGACAGTTCACTACCAATTCATCAGTCACGAAATCCAGTTTAAAAATTGTTTCCCCATATCTAGTTTACATCTCTACCTTCTTCTCTCTCAATTCATCGTTGTATTTAGCCTGTAGATCGTCTTGCGTTCTAAAGAGCTCTTCAATCTCCGTTTCTTGAAGCTGAAAAGAGGAAAAAGAAAGGTTACGAAGATTGGCCGATGCAAATGTTTGACGTGGCGCGGCGCAAGTTTATCAAAAAAACATCTGTACAGTATAGTTTCAACAACAAAGAATTGAGATTATCGATAATAAAAGCTGTAAAAAGAATTGGGAATAATATCACAATATCTTATCTGAATGATGATATCATAAAAATAAACCTCGAAAAATCGATCACACGTACGACTTCAAAATTTATGTTACTTTTAAATTTCAGGAAGAGACACAAACAGCTTTAATGAATAAACAATCTGAATTTACTTCGCCGAAGGCTGGACTAATCCTCACAATCATACCAATCTGTTAATGGAATGATTAAAGGAAAGCGTAACGCTTAATAAGTAACAGACGAATGTCAGTAAATACGTTGCAAGCGAATTCAAGTAAACGATCACAACAAGTTTTAAGAATAACACTCGCGTGTGCAAAATCATCCAAACAATGAACATACCTTTACGAGAACAAACGAAACACGCTCGAAATAATGCGCAAAGTTGTCAAAGAATAAATATTTTCGCGAGTAACTTTACTGCCACACGATTTGAATTAGATGTCTTGAACAAATAACGATATGCAAATTTCCACGTTAGACTTTTTTGTTTCCCGATTGTCTTTCAAAATTCCAACGCGACGGGATGTATAAATTACCGCCGGGAAAAAATAAAGTATAAACCAGGGATGAATATAGTATGATGCGTTGTAATTTGTGAGCCAAAACAAGGCGAAATACGCAAACATAAACATTCAGCATCGCTTCTGGTCTAGCCACGAAGTAACAGTGAGTTAGACCTTAGTCTCGTGGTGAAATATCACATCTGCACGGTTTAACAGAATCAAATCGATGAAAAAACAAATATACAAGTTAGGCAAAATCCACCTCTTCCAAAATCAGTCGTCACAATCCTCTAAAAAAGGACACTATGTTTCTCACTTTGTATAAACATAACCGTTGCTAAGTAAGCCTTCATAAAAAACACCGCAGGTACCTGTAGTTGTGGCAGTTTTAATTCACGCTAAAAAAGGAAGGCTTTCACTTCAAACTGAAAGCGATCAAAGTAGGATTTTATCCCAGCATCAGTATATTTTTAAGCAAAGATGTGATGAAAGGAAAGTAAAATATTTTGAAAAACATTTCAGGTATATTTTTTTAATAACAACTTGTAATGAAACAACTTTGATTTGACCAGCGGATGAAAATCAAGCAAAGAATTGATCATCGCAGGTGAGCTGCAATTTCTTTAGCAGAATTTCTTTCTTCAATCTTCGACGGGATTCAAACTCGTGTCTCCCCGATAGTAATTTGGCGCTTCTACGAACTTACTTGTAGCCGCACGAAGACACATTTTAGAGGATTCTTCTGTCACTTAGAGGAACTTAATAAAAAATCTTAATGAAATATATTTCATTTGTGGGTCACTGCCAATGTACCTCAGATGGTAGTAGCGTAGAGATACTGTAAGGAGAGGTTAGATGATTGTCACTAAAACGGGGGTTAAAGGGATAAAAAAGTTACTCTAGAATTTATAACATGGGTACTTACAGATTTCTCGTCGTTTGCCGCCTTCAACTCCTTTGAAAGTTGTTGAGTTTTGCTCTCTAACTCTTGAATTACACGCCGTGAATCCTGCAATGAAACAACACAACACAGATGTCAACAACCCAGATGAATTCTCACGTTAGAGGTCAAAACCAAAAACAAAGAGGGAGCAAGTGCGTGTTGGAGATAATTTAACTACAGAACCGTTTTCCTCACTTGCGTTTTTCAGGCTAACGGTGGAAAGCACAAGGCAAGCGCGAAGGGCGAGCCGCGCACGAGACGAGGCGCTCTAAGTCTCGCGCGCGACTCGTTCAAGCTCTCGCACGTTACTCGTCCTTGAAGCTTTCCTCTACTTGCCTAAAGTGTAACACATTACTTCTGTTTTCCAGAAAAAACGCGCGTAACAAACCTCTAACTTAGCATTAAGTTTTGTGTGTTGTTCTTCGGTCAGTTTCAAAGATTGCTGTAGTTGTTCCTTGTCATTCTTAGCAAAATCCACCCGCCGACGCAGGTCCTAATAGAGAGAAAGAAATGATACTGGTTATACCGCGACGAGAAATGATATTTTGCAGCTCTGTAAACACCATCACAAAATTTACCCAAAAGATCCCATCGAACAACTATGCAACTGTTGCCGAGCGAACGAGTCAAAAGCAGAGCAACCTAATCTGTGATAAGCGCGAGAAATACTTCGCTTTAAAAAAAAAACGTTTGCCGCTCGTTTGGCAGTTCAGTAGTTCGAAAAAGTTCGTTCAGTTCGCGGGAAAAGTTCTCGAGACGACCGACGATTGGTTAATTTTTGCGGTCGAATGAACGGGTGTCCTAAATTCGCTTTGATTGGTCGGCAAATGCCTCCTCACCCAATCAAAAACATTCTTGTATAATAACTACGGAAGCTTACATGACTGCTATACATTAAAAGAAATCAAAGAAAAAAATCAAGTACAACCTTGACACTTTAATTTGCTCATACCATATATGGTTACCAAGAAAAAATAAGCCAAAAAAATAACAATTGAATCGTTACCCAGCACCAAGAGAAGGTTATACTTCTACTCATACCAGAACTGAAGTAAGCAAAACCCTCATTTTAAACAGCAAAAGAACCCCAAAAGTGAATGTTAGCAAAGTAAAAGAAAGAGTGCCGTGACAGGAAAGAGATGTTGGCAAATATTATGAAAGGAGGCTTAAAAGAAAGAACGTCGCAGTAACGAAATATAATTACAAATGGTAAAACGATCACGGTATCGTGAATTTTTGCAGAGAGAAGGAAACACTGATACTAAAAGCCATGTCTTGACGTAAATGAATGAATGACGATGAAAAAAATAATTTTTGAGGTAAATGTGTTGCAGAAATAATAAAAAAGCAATAAATTTTCACAAGAAAATTTTCGTTGGACTCTGACATGAGTGTGTGAAGCACAAACTGGCGCTTGTTAGCAGCAGATTAAATGAAAACAGAAATTACCGTTAGTTTATTCGAGCGAGAAGCTAGCGCTAAACAGAACGTTGCATGAGGCCAAGATATATTTTTATGTCACAGCCCTCTTGAATTCCTTAGGATTTATGTGTGTTGAAATCTTTCGCTCACACACAACCTTAACGATTCAAAATGGCTGCCATTGCATCAATAACTTCCCAGAAGAAGCGATGAAAAGCCCAGAATGAGCTGTAGCACGCATGCGTTGGTTAAAAAGACCAGTACCGTAGTCATGCACTGCTCCTGGATAAAGTTGTCTTGAAGAGCAATCAGTTCGGACAGAAGAATACTCTTTTCTTCAGAGACAGACGATAGTTGAGTAGAAAACCCCTGAAAAACGGTATTCAGTGTGGCGTCACTAATAAGTCTGTCAATCAAACACGGGCCGGGATGATTATCGGTGCGTGCGCACTGATCATCCTCGACCCCAGTGCCCAGTGTCTCATGCTCGTCCTTTGTATATGCTCTGGGAAAATTTCCCCACGTTTCAAAAGAGAAACCAGTCGTTCGTTCGTGCTCATGTCAGAGTCCTCTACTTTGCGCTTGAGTCAAAGACCGAGAACAAAGGAAAATCTCTCAAAGAGACCACGATAACTCAAAGAAATTATTTCAAGGGCAGGTAAACGAAAAAGTTCAAGTCGCAATTTGTTTTGTACATGAATGGTCAAGAAAGTGGCACTGACTGGTTTTCTAGACCAATCACTGAGCGCAAAGGTAAAGCGAATACAACTGAAACTTTATTTCCCTTCTCCTCCATTCTAGTTTCTTTTACTCACACCTCTATCGACAAACCTTTTCCATAACTCAAAAACTCAGGAAGCCAGGTTTAGTTCTGATATTAGAAAGACG